CAGACAAAGAATCAGCAGCTGTTCACAGCTGTATGTGACACACACACACACACACACACTTACACAATTAAACTACATACTGCATCCCGAGGCAGACTAATATAAACCCACTGGAGACTTGTCTGTGAAAACTATCCTAAGGCACAGACTGCTAGACTAGATCCACTAGAGAGGAAAAAAAGCCTGGAAGGGAACTTGTACAAGTCAGGCTACTATAAAAGAGAAAACTATACTGTATATTATCACTGCATTTTCCCCACCATTCAAAGCAGTGATTAGAAGATAACAAACGTCCACAAAATATCTGTACGACTGCTTTTTTCTCCAGCAAATTAAGCAAGACCAGTCATCAATCTTCACCAATGGCCTCTCTCCTTCTCGCACAGATGCTGCAACAATGCAGGTCCAGATGTGCATTAGTAATGACGTCAATGCATCAGCAATCAGACTTTTGACCATATGTACAGACCAGTCATCAAGCTATCAGAGAAAATATCAAACTCCCACCTACTGAGGCCATGCAACACTCCGCTATACTGGCATTTAGCTCTTGGATGACCTTACTTTGTGCGGTTACAAAATTCAAAATACAAAATTCTTGAAATAAAGTGTAAATGAACAAGCTTACACATGCTATGCTACCATAATAAAGGTGCAACTCGTATGCCTTTTCTCCATAAATGGAATCAAATGCACCTAGTTCTGGAAAAAAAGGCGTTTAGTGGTACATGGTTTACAAAGGTGTTCATTCTCTGCCAGATTGATATGAAACTGCCAGTAACATCAGCATTTACTTGAGAATCGAAGGAAATAGTATTTTTAAAGGGTGAGATTCAATAAGGAGAAGGTATTTTGTTTCTGCTCTGATTAGGAAGCAGAACATCCTGAATTGAACCTCCTGTTTGCATGATTGCAAATTGTGGTGAAAGTCCAGCCAAAAACAGATGAACAGGTCAAGTTAGGCTCCATCGCCCATTTTACTAGATGGCCCTTGACTAACATCTCTCAAAGAGCTTGGTCACACCCTTCTAAACTCTACACTGGCTACTGATCAAAGATGCTGAGCTTTGTCCACACGCTTATCTTTGTTTTTCCAAATGATCGTATTTCTAGCCAAGGAGTCCAAGAACTCAGTTTAGCCAAACCCAACCTGTTCCAGTCGATTATTTCTTATTTTCTTTACCTGGTAGACTGTTTTGAGACAGTCTGGACAATGAGATATGAGACTCGACCTCTTTGGTGGCTTTTTACGTTTTGTTCTGTTTTCTCTCATCTCAGAGCCAGAGTCAGTAAAGCCAACAATACACAGGATGACGGTTCTTGTCCGCTCCATTGTCAGTTATTCCTGGAGGAAAACACTTTCACACGGTCCCAAACTCTTTATATAAATAGCCTCTCCAAATAAATATCCCCTGAACTTGCAAAACACCTGAGAACAACCATAACAAAGCTGCTAAAAAAATAGGGTTAGCTAGGGTAAACACTGAAATCTTATACATAGAGATGCAATTGTGATGTTGTCAGTGACAACTATGCTTCATCCTCATATAAACTACAAAAACATAATCCAGCTTCCCTTTCCCAGTGGTTTAAGAGTCCTCCATACACTGCATTGTATCAAATTAATTGGATTTGTTCTTCATAATTTAGCTTTTCACCTCTCTCAGCCCCTCCCCCTCTGTATAATCAGAGACTGGGGCTGGAGACGCCAGCTGATCCCTGCAGGCCCCTGCTATTCAACAAGAGCCCCCCACATTCATCAGGATGCCTCCTGCTTCTTTGTGCTCAGCCTCAGCTCCAAAAGAAGAAAAGGGTTGATGGCAGCTCCAAAAAATGACAAATATTAATGCAGGATGACAACTTCTGAGCTCTTTTATGTTATTATTAGCATTTGTAAAGAAATAAACAATAGAAAGCAAGCCTATCACACTCACATTAAATGTTTTCTAAGTAGCGTTTGTCCTTAAGAAACCTCAGTGTGTTGAAATCGACAAATTAGGAAATATTTCATGGATGGCCAAGATGCTTTCACAACGCATAAATAGAGACAGACACCTGTCAAATAATTTTAACAGTGACATCTTACCTTCTCCGCTATTTCCCGTCATAACTTTACCGCAAGGTGATGGACCTGCCCAGTATCCGCGTGCACCTCTGTTGTTCCTCTGGCCTCTATGAGCTTCTTCAGATTCATGTCTGCGCTTCGGGGACCGCTCACGCTGTCAAATCAGTCCGAGATTGACAACCGTGTGAGCCAATCCGGCAGCGCGCTACTAAAAATCCAACCAATAGCAGAACTGGGAGGCGGTCCCATTTACAAACTGGGTAGGCTAGGTCGAGGGAAGATATTAAGTATCAACGTCTATCTACTTTGTTTATATGATAAACATATAGGAGGCACATCTATCTATCTATCTATCTATATATCTATCTAAAAAAACAAAACTGAAAAACTGAAGTAGCTTTATTTAGATGGATATCCATAAATCAATCAATCAATCAATCTATCTATCTATCACATTTAAAAAAATTAGTAGGTCAAGGAGTGTTGGAAGATATTAAGTTTCAATGTCTATTTAATTTGTTTAATGATAATCATATAGGGGACACGTTATCTATCTATCTATCTATCTATCGGTCAGTCTGTCTGATTCAGAATCTTTACAAAAAAAAAAAGAACTGAAGTAGCTTTATTTAGATGGCTATCCATAAATCCATCCATCTATCTATCACATTAAAAAACTGGGTAGATCGAGGAGTGTTGGAAGATATTAAGTTTCAACGTCTATTTAATGTTTATATAATAAACATAGGAGACACTTTATCTATAGCTAGGCTATCTATCCATCCATCCATCGATCTAATCTATCGGTCAGTCTGTCTGATTCAGCAACTTTTCTCTTTACAGAAAAACACGAGTTGAAGTAGCTGTATTTATTGAGATGAATATCAATATTTCTTGCAAAGCAACTCAAAGACACTGTGAATGAAATGGGTGCATTTACATTTCCCAAACTCATTACTTTGCACAGTCAGAACAACATTACAATCACAGTTATACGCAGTAGTTAGTTTGCATACTAGCACAAAACCACACGCACCCATGGAAAACCCAATAGCCTATGTCGCATTACCTCATCATAACACAAAGACAACTCCATACGAATGTCTCTCAAACTTTCTAGGTATAAAATAATACATGTGTGAATGCAGTCGGACCCAGGCACAAACACTCTTCATTTGTAATAGTAGCAAAAGTAGGAAAGCAGCTCTCAAAACTGTTGGGTCAGAGTTCTCTTGGGTCACAGTCCTACATCTGCTTTCATCCATACAAAGAGACTTCAGTTTTCAAAGAAAAACAAATTTTGAAATTAATTCCAAAAGCAAACCATATTTTTAGAAAACACAAAAATGTAGATGCAGATATGACCTCCTTGTTTAGTCTCCACTTGGGTCTGTTTTTTTTAAAGGTTAGAACAGTGCTATGCTGAAGAATAAAGATGATCGAACACACACTGATCTGAACTCACCTAGTCTGAACTATTGGACTGCTGAGCTGGAGGCTAACAGCACTCACACCCACACACGAGCATGTTTCTACAGCTGTTCAAATAAGAATAACACAATAGTCTTCCGCAGCTCAACATGGTTCTTCTGGGAAGGCTCCCACCTACGCACTCAGACCAAAGCACGTTCATGTGTTTCAGACAAGCTTTACTGTACTGTATTTTCCCCAAAACAACAGATTTTTGTAATGACCGATGAAGGCTGAAATTTACTGCATGAAAAATGTCACATTATGACGCTGAAGAATTAGATAAGCACACACATACAGTTAGTTAGAAACGCCATACTTTCACAATCAACGAAGTAAAACAATCTGAGTTTCCCTGCTGAGCAGTTCAAAAAAAATCCAAAGATGCCTTGATATTGTACAAGATATAGGCACGTTACACGTGGTTATCATTACTCAGAACGTAGTTTACTGAATGTGGCTGTGTTTTTTTTAACAGTTCCAGATTTCTAATATCTTTATGTAACGTATTCATATAATTAAAAGGACAAAATACCTTTCTTTCTTATTTTTTGCAAATTTGAGTCACTGGCATAAGAGAAAGAACCTAGAACAGATATGGTACGACTTAAGAATGTGTCTGAAAAAAACAAAACAATTTCTCAATAACTTTAAGATCTCAAATCAAACAACATGTCATGATTAATCTTAAAAGTCCATTATGAAGTCCTTACATGATAAATGCAGTGCATGCCTACAGGGTGACATGATAAGTGTAACAGACATTTATATTAATATACTGCACACACATTTCTTAACAATCAAAAAAAGCAGAAAAAAAACAATCATATTTGGCTTTTAAATGAAGCGCCACTGAACTGCATGCTTTATTAAGTGTCATGTTGTATTAGTTTTGCTAATTGCTACAGAATCTGTTAACTTTGGCATGGCTCCAAGCTAAAGTCAATGTTGCAATTATTTGCAAATGGAAAATAAAGTATCTGGCAAACATCTGTATGAAAAAAAATTGCATACAAAAATAAGGGTTTACTCTGCCTTGAGCACTTTCATTTGTGTGGATTAAAACAATGAGAATGTCTGGCTGATAAAAGTTTATGACCATAGTACTGTGCACAATATATATGGAGAGAGTATGTGAAGTCCAGATATCAGTTTAGAACAACTCTAAATGTCTTATTGAATAACTGTGATCTCAAGATAATGACATCTGATGAATTGCACATTGACCTGAAAAAGCAAACAAATACATAATACAACACAAAAGCTATGTATTGTTCCAGCTGTTTGCACTCAGTCATTCAGCAACAGTAAAGATTATTAACCATATCAACTAACACTGTGTCCTACCTACCTCTTCCGGTTTGTTTGATTTGTCGTTGTGTTTTCTGACTTGTTATTTTGTTTTCTGAATTGTTGTTGTGCTTTCTGAATTGTTATTTTGTTTTTTAGACTTGCATTTGCGTTTGTAATTTGTTATTTTGTTTTCAGAATTGTGATTTGCTTTGCACTTCTCGGCCACCGTAGTGTCCTAACCAGGCGCAATATGACAAGTTCGAAAACTGATGTGTGACGTGACAAAATCACACCCAATGAGTTGTACAGTTCTGAGGAACCAATGAGAGTTCACAGTGGGCGGGGCTACCCAGCATGATGTCGTGTTGTGCCCTGTTGCACTTTGCTTCTCACGATCGAGGCTGGTTACGTTTTTTCTCTTCGTTTTATTGCGTCCCGTCTGGTTAGGTCACGTGTAAGGTGCTTTGTTGACTTCTCGCTCCGATTGAGTCTTTGGCCTGGTCATGCTAAAGCCATGGATGAATGAGCTTCCATAAAGCTGATATTACATGATAGATATTACAGTCCAAGCAGTGGCTGAGTATCATGTCTAGGAGGTAAGAAGAAGAACAGGCAGGAAGAGACGAGAGAAAGACACAATATGAGTAGACGAGGACAAGACTAAAATGTTGGACAACATTCATTGCAGTCAAAAACAAAGACAAGGGGACAGGGGAAGATGGATATTATTACATAGCAAAAAGACGTACAAGTAGAGCTTGTTGGCCATGTTTCTCAGCTGTATAAAATGTACAGAAAGTGGCTTATATCAATATTGAGTGCTTTTTGCACAAAGAGAGAATGCAATGCAGTAATCACAAAGACAGCCGAGGGAGCAAGATCAAAGACAATCAAAGAGAAAAACAATATGGAGAATTTAGTGCCGACTCTCCGGCATCAGAGTAACATTCAGACCATGTGGTGCGGCGTTCACGAACAAAGCTAGGTGGCAAACAGCGTTGTGAAAGCGCTCCCTCTTCCTCAGCGTGAGATGAGATGACAGTAGCTATGCAGCAGAACGGAGGTGCATATATATTTCTCTCACACTCATCCTCCATGCACACAGGATGGATGAGAAGAGGTTTTCTCTTTATCTTTGCTTTCCTTCAAGCGATTCAGCGGGATTTAAAACAAGCGGGCTTTCTTCTTAAGGTCATTTTTCTTCCACAAGGCCAAACGGTCAAACTGTTCAATGGTCATCTCAAATACATTGTAGAAGTCCTCAGGTGACAGGTGCCTCTGAAATGATAAGAATTACAATAAATGTAATTAATTGAATTCTAAAACTTTACAAATCAATTTTGATATCTGGCAAATTTAAGAGGGAGTTCAGTTGGAAAAAAAAAATTCTGTGTAATTCTAAGCCTGTACGACTTTCTTCAGTGGAACACAATAGAAGATATTTTGGAAAATGTTCACACTGCACTTAACTGCAATGAAGATGAATGGTTAACAGGCTATCAAGGACAAAAAAGTGGCATAAAATAATCATATGGTTTAGAGTGGTTATAAAACTACAAAAGCTGTGATTTAATTAAATAAATATATATGTCTATTTCAAATATTTTACGTGCTGCCTGGAAATATTAGTATTGCCATTGTACAGTTGTACTGTTAAATAAAACTATTTTGTAAAAATCGACGCGTTTCAGAAAGGCGGGGCATAGAGGAGAAACAATAATGTACAGTATGTGGAAAATAATGTGTTTTTTTAACCTTAAACCGCATAAACACATTTCATTACACAAAATACACAAAATAATGTTCTTTTTAACAGCATCATATGACCCCTTTAAATACTTGATTTTTTAAAATGTTAAAAACTGTTAAAATATTTCTTAATTTGTTGTAGATGTTTTCTTTAGAAATTAAAAATAAGCCTACTATTATCATTATTATTATTTCCTAATCATATTGATATATAATCTCAACATTTTTGGTGAAATTGTGCTGCCCTACAAACAAGCATATTCATCAAACCAAAAGCTTTTTTTAATCACATTTAAAGTTTTACCCAAATCATAAAACCCTAATTCCAAGTCTTTTGGAACCATATGAAAGCTCTGTGTGAGGAACAGACCAAAACTGAAATGGTTACTCATTAAAAAAAATTCAAAAGTTATTACAATCCATTTTAATTGCATGTAAAAGAACAGCTTGGACATTCTGATAACTCCTTTTGTGTTCCAATATGGGTTTTAAAAGACATGAGGAAGTATAAATGAATTTGAACCAATGTTTTGGGTGAACTATCACTTTAAAGCATGCAGAATAGCTCCATGATATAGTCATCCATCTATAAAGGTCTAAAATAACACTGTCAAACAACTAATCAAAGCTTAATCAGAACAAACCCAAAGGACTTCTGCCAGGATTCTAAGCACTGTTTATTCTGCTAACAATATCTGCATGGCGCAAACGTCATTACAGATTAAAGACAGAGTGAAAAAAATAATACAATATTGACAATAATTACAACCATCTATATGCATGTCACCTAAAGCTTTGCAATGGTTGAGGACATTCATTGCCTTTAGCACAATCAGGATTACGAGCACCACTGGGGGGGCTGTGAAAGTTGCCAGGCTTTCAAGCCTATGACCTCAATTTTGGTTTAAACCATTCCAGAATGGATCTGTATAAATCTTTATTCTTTCAGGCCCTGTCGTATGTGGTACTGTAACACTTGCAGATGTGTGGGCATCTTGAACTTCTGCAAAAAGCCGCTGAAATCACCGTCTTTGGAAAGTTTTTTTTTGGGTGTTGCAAGTGTCTCCCGCTGGGAGACTGACTCAAATCATGCTCAAGGGGCCAGGGCCTCTTACATCAGGACAACAGTCGTATGATGACAAACACACACACATTTTCAGATATTGCAATTTTAACCACAGTGATTCCAAACTAACAGTTATAGGGAGTGGGATCAGTAAATCAACATCTCTCGTAACTCATGCTGAAGTTAAAAGGAGCCAGACATTTCTCTTCCCTTTTCCATTTAAACCCACTAATAACACTGACACAATGTCCAGGAACACTGAGAATATATTATGTGTTGGCCGTGGGCAAGTGGACTGTAGTCCATCAAAGCCATAACCTCATAAACATACACAACTCTTCGCCTGGCTGCTTGCTTGCATACTTTGATCAAGACTAATGCTGACAAAATAATAATTAAACAGAAATAAGTCAACCCATGCTCCATATTAAAAAGATGACACAACTGTATTTAAATGTCAATCATTACAAACTAAACTACACTCAATCATCATAACTTGGGATGCTCCAAAGTGCAATCAATTAAAAATAAACAAAACCACTGAGTAAAATCATGTACAGTATATGACAGAGTATGATTCAGCAAACAGGCCACATAAGGAGGAATACACAGAAGGAAAGAGATGGACAAAACAGAAAAGTGGTCTATTTGAAGGTCTAATAAAATATTACCTCCAGTCTGGTGCGGTCCACATCCCGTGGTAGTTTTACTCGGACTCTGTGGCTCACAGCTAGCATGTCATAGGGATAGACCTGCAACATACATGCATGTGAAATACACACAATTACAAAAATGCCCTCATAAGACATTTTATAGTGTTTTATTTAAAAAATAATGCTGTTCTTTTGAACTCTTGAGCACCAAATCAGCATATTAAAGGGGTCATATGATGCGATTTCAAGTTTTCCTTTCTCTTTGGAGTGTTACAAGCTGATTGTGCATAGATAAGATCCCTGAAGTTGCAAAGACTAAAGTCTCAAAACCAAAGAGATATTCTTTATCAAAGTTAAGACTCTGCCACGCCCCCCTAAAACGGCTCGTTCTAACACGCCCCCACATATCTACCTCACTATGTGGAAATATTTGCATAATGCCGCCCAAATGTGAACGCAAAGAAAGAAGGCGTGGTTTCAGTAACCGCAGTTAGTGTTGAAGCAGCCATGTCAGGGAGACGCTGTGTGTTTCTAGGCGAAAGCAAAAGCACTTTATTTGGCCTTCCGAAAGTAGATGCATTTAGGAATCTTTAAGATTACTTACAACAGAACAGCAATGCATTTTATGGACGACCGTTTCGTGAACCTAGGAGAGGAGTTTAAGTATTTGCTATTGACTGTTCAAATGCGGAGTTTTGCGCATCGTGTGTGTGTCTGTGTGCGTGTGTGAGAGTGTGTGTGTGAGAGAGAGGGGTCACATCACAGTGGAGTCAGCTGTCTTAACCGTGGCTTGTGTACACATACCAGCTTCATCATTGTGTCTGTCACGCGACTCTGTTCCCCAGAGTAAAGACATTGCTCTGTCTTTACATTTATTTTGAAAGCTGAAGCTCGCGATTATGGTAAGGGGCGTTACATTTCCGACGAGTGCTTGCGGTGTTCGGCCAATCACAATGCACTGGGTCAGCTGACCAATCAGAGCAGACTGCGCTTGTCGGAAGGAGGGACTTTGTAGAAAACGAAGCGTTTGAGAGAGGCGGGGCATAGAGGACCTACAATGTACAGTATTTGAAAAATAATGTGTTTTTTGAACATTAAAGCATGTCACCATATTCTGTTACACCAAATAATGATCTTTAAAAAAGCATCATATGACCCCTTTAAAAGATAAGGATCATGCGGCCCGGTTTTACAGGTGCTATTATAATTATTTATTGTAGAAAAATGCATTCAAGCATTCAAATTTGTTATTGAACTATATGGACCCAACAATATTCAACATTATTAAAATGGTGCATAAACAGGCTGAATGGAAAATTAACAATTTTGCCTCTAAATGTCTACTGAAACCATAGAAAGCATCTTGCAACCAATAATTAACCACACAAAATATAGCACTGCAAGTGAACCTGTATTTAAAGGGATAGTTCACCCAAAAGTGAAAATTCCGTCATTAATTACTCACCCTCATGTCGTTCCAAACCTGTAAGATAAGATATTTTTGATGAAATCCGAGAGCTTTCTGACCCTGCATAGACAGCAATGCAACTGACACGTTCAAGGCCCAGAAAGCTAGTAAAGACATTGTTAAAATAGTCCATGTGATATCAGTGGTTGAACCGTAATGTTATGAAGCTACGAGAATACTTTTTATACTCTCATGAAAGTGCATCGAAGACTGACACGAAAGAGAAGAAATTGTTGAATAAAGTTATTTTTGTAACAACTTTTCAACATGGACTATTTTAACGATGTCCTTACTACGTTTCTGGGCCTTAAACATGTCAGCTGCGTTGCTGTCTTTGCAGGGTCAGAAAGCTCTTGGATTTCATCAAAAATATCTTAATTTGTGTTCTGAAGATGAACGAAGGTCTTACGGGTTTGAAACGACATGAGGGTGAGTAATTAATGAGAGAATTATCATTTTTGGTTGAACAATCCCTTTAATGCTTTCTGGGTCATATTCAATTTGTTTTTTTTAAAATAGTTGCATTTTGTTGTTTTCCTTTTCATTTTTTGTTTTTCCCTGATCAGAACAGTCCAGCCACCTATTTTGGGCTCGCCACCCAAAAGTTGACAATTACTGTTCTACAAAATAGGGAACGCACACTAGAACTCACCTTGTACTCTGAGAAGCATTGGAAAACAGGAAAGAGGTTAAAAAAAAGAAAGAGAAAGACAAATTACAACTAATAATCTTTGTATGGTAAAAAGGCAATTTGTCTGTTGTCTATGTAAGTTAAATACTCACTCACCTCTCATTCCACTCCAGGATGAGTCATGATCGCCCTCATCCTCGCCAAGATCAGCCACCTGCTAAGAAGCAATGCATGACAAGACATGGCATATTTACAGTTATATACAGAGCACATTTATTAACAAGTAGAGTGCATGGCAATATCAAAACAGTAGATGGCTGTTTTTTCAACTACAGGCACATTCATGTCCCAAAGGAACTGATTTCAGCATCTAGTTTTAAGAATTCACATTAAAAATTTTGTGGAAAAGTTTCACCATGCCATCATTATTTATTTTTGCTACTATCAAATGAGAGTAACAATATCATGTTTGAACAGAGCGGCTGCTGTAACTGTGAACGTTTTTCTTTCATTTCCTGAGGTTAAAGGTTAAAGTCTAGCACAGACAGAGGCTTGAATCCATGCGGCTGGAGCTTGCCGGTGGATTTGGTTATAAATATTAATCTATGACCAGCTCTCCATTTCACATGCCTTTGTGAACGCTTGTGGAAAGTAAAGGCGAAACATGACACTAAGTCAGACCAGATTACATATAAAGAATTGGTAATATTTCTGTTTTCAGGTAGTTTATTGTCTAGATACAAAAAACCGTTGCAAAATACTGCCACCTAGTGTACAGGAGAAGCTTTCAGACCGTTCTCAAACAAAGAAAACACTGGCAATGCGAGATAAAAGATCTGAATCAGATTTTTAATATAGAGTGCCGTGGAAGCACATCTTGCTCTTCGTTACAGAGGATAGTCCATTAAGGGAGCCAGATTTCAAGATCAAAGCCGAACATGGAAACCAGAGGTTGGGAACAAGACACAATTCTAACTGCACGCAAGCACAGACACACCCTCTGAGCATTATGGCTTCCGCAGCTAAATCTCTACACTAACTGATCTGTGACTGTGTTTCCTGATGTGCGCAATTACAACAGCCCTCTGTCCCAGCAGCTGGGTTTGACAAATCCAACTAGGATCAAACAACATTCTTCACTGCTGAGAGAGCGAATGACAGCATCTGTGACCACAGCTCACATATATTCCCAAAAATCACACACAGATGGTGTGTTAAAAGGTTTGTGGGGTGCTGCGTTTGTGTGCAGATATCAGGTCTTATAAGGTTTACCTTGTATATTCCGTTCCGCCCATATCCTGGCAGCGAAGCAGACTTATTGTATGGGAAGTCTGTAAAACAGAGAATTTAGAAAGATTTATAGCATTTTACTCTAACACCATGTTCAAGGGGAGGACAGGCAGAGACAGTTTAAAAGGAGGATATGAAAAATTAATAGAAAAATGAACAGAAGAAAATGTACCACTCAATATCAATATGGCAGCTGTAGGAAAGAAAGCCCCGCCTTTTAAAATAATTTTTCCGTCGACTCTGAAAAGGGCATGCAAATTAACTTGACCAGCCTGAAAAAAACAGTTTTTAATCGCAAGTTTTAAAAGTAACTATGATACAGTTGTTGTCAGATTTCATTGTTTCCTACATAGAAAATAGCTGCTCTGAAATGTTAGCATGATGGCCACTGAGTGAACTGACATGACTTTAAGGAAGTTACTCACTGGGTTGAGACATATCGGTGGGTAAGCTGTGGGTGGAGGTCCTGGGGTCCAGATCTGGAGACTGTCCATCCATCTCACTCTTCAGGTTCATCCAACTTGTTCTGGTCTATTGACAAACAAAAACAGCAAGAAATACAATCAAATAAAGAATTTAATGGAAAGATGGAAAACGTATATAGGGTTTGATTATATTACGAAGCGTGCTTAAATGTATTGAATGTGCACTTGCAGTGTACTTAAAATCTTTAAAAGTATATTTTTAAAAACTGTATTTGCAGACACTTAAGTGTACTCACTGAGAGTACACTCTAATGACTGTTTCTTAACACACTTAAGTAGACTTGTAAAAAGCGCACTTGTAATAATATCAAAGTATAAGTTTTACTTTAAAGTACATTTTAAATCATTACGTTGTAATAATTTTCTTTTATGCTTTGAAGTACAATTATTTTAATGTTGACTAACACACTAAAGCACATGTAAAGTACTTGATTATCATTTTAACTGTACTGTGTTATTTGATATGACACTTTTATGTTAATAAAATATTACACTTTGATATTACAAGTTGATATATTTTAAAGGGGTCATATGACGTTGCTAAAAAATAACATTATTTGGTGTAATGAAATGTGTTTACATGGTTTAAAGGTTAAAATAATACATTATTTTCCACATACTGTACATTATTGTTGCTCCTCTATGCCCCGCCTTTCTAAAACTCTAGAATCTCTAGTGCGTTGTGATTGGCCGAATTCCTCAAGCGTGTGACGGAAATGTTACGCCCCTTACCATACTGTGATGCCGTGTCCCGGCGCGACGAGACAAAACCAATAAAACCCATTATAAACGAGGCATTTGTTAAATCCATTGGGGACATAATTACTGATTATAATGACTTATACTGCTACTCTACACTGCTCAAAACTTGCGTTTGAATCATCAGTGGCAAATCCTTTAAATATGAAAACGTACTTACAGGCTGTGAGTCAGCATTATTTGTCAGCATCATAGACTGTATAGGGTCAGCATGCGCAGGGGAAACAGGGGAACTGAATTCACTGGAACACCGGCATTGTGAGCTACTCTCCCAGGAAACAGTCCTCGTCCTCCGTAAAATGCGTTGCTCACATCTGAATATTTGGTTTGAACTGCTCTGGAACAGTGTTGTAAATACAATTTAACCACTGATTTCTAGTTGTGTCCTCTTTTGGAAGACCAAACTGGCGGCGGTGGCAGCAACAATAAAGTTACGCCTTCTTTCTTTTTTATTGTGAACATTTGGGCGGCGTTATGCAAATCTTCCCACATCGTGACGTAGACATGTGGGGGCGTGTTAGAACGAGCCATTTTAGGTAGGCGTGGTTGACTCTTAACTTTTATACAGAATATCTCTTTGGATTTGAGACTTTAGTCTTTGCAACTTTAGGGATCTTATCTATTCACGAACAGCTTGTAACACTCCCAAAGAGAAAGGAAAACTTGAAATCGCATCATATGACCCCTTTAAATTAACTCAACTGCAACTTCATAATTGCAAATGTGCAATTACAAATATATTTAAATACATGACATACAAGATTTAATATAAATTACTTTATATGTTAGTCTACCATAAAAGGTTGTCAGTACATTCAGCAGTACACTTTAACCATATTTTAAAGAAAACATAATTATGAAATTAAATATAAAGACTAAGTCAGACTAAAATTTGCACTAAGCACTAAGTTCTGCTAATTGGAATTAATTTAAATTTAAACTGTAATACATTTTCATATAATTGCAATTAACATGCAATTAAGTGTCTAAAAACATTACATTCAGTTTGCACTCAAGTATATTAATTTAAAGTATATTATTTCCATAATAAGTAAAAAAAAATAAAAAATAAAAAAATAAAAGTACTTCTTTTTCCGTAAGTGCTTAGTCTGGCAGGTTGGTTAAATATGCAATGTCCAAAAAAGTTTCTAATGTGGTCCTTGGTGCATGTGGACTGGGGAGACTGCTGCTGGATCCATGTTTGGTCTGTCGCTCTGTTGAGGTATTCGGCCAATCACAACGCACTGGATAGGTGGTCAATCAGAGCACACCTCGCTTTTCAGACCGATGAGCTTTCATAGAGGAGAAACAATAATGTACAGTATGTGGAAAAGAATGTGTTTTTTTAACCTTAAACCGCATAAACACATTTCATTACACCAAATACACAAAATAATGTTCTTTTTTAGCAACATCATATGACCCCTTTAAACCTTACTGACCTCAAATTTTTGGTGTATGTGTAACATCAAATAACAAACATCAAAACAATAATCTCTAAGTTAATATGCATTGAGCAGCACTAATAATTCAGGGCTAACTGCTATTCAAAATAAACACATTGAATATCTAAGAAATATAACCCTTAGGCATGTGGTCAAGAACCAACAATTAGGTACTGACTGCTTGATAACAAGTATCTTGTCAAATTCAAACCTTTTTCTGGGATTTGTAAAACCTACAAGGCCTACTGTTTGGAGCTGAAATGGAAACCAGCAGACAGAAGGAGGGTCAAAGGTTACAGTTCCATGGCCACATGTACCATGGTGACATGCGTAACAGCATGCAAAGAAACATGGTTGTACGGAGACTGGACTGTACCATGCTGTTTGTAGATAGGGGGCTTTCTATAGATATTATCTTTGACTTTAGTCTCTGAGAATGGAAGACAAAGAGAGGAATAGAATAAGAAAGAAGATGAATAAAGAAGCATGAGTTATTAGAGGATGGAATCGGGGCAAAAGAAAGGGCAGAAAATGCAGTATATGATGCTGTAAAGGATTTCCATTTCATTCATCATGTTCATGATTGCCATGCATGATCAAGCATTTTGCCTTTGACAAAATCTTTGGCTTTGAAAAATGGATTTTCTGCCGTCAGAATTATGTATAACATTATAAATAATGAAAGCTTTATCTCATTTTTAACTTAGAAGATAGAAATGTCACCTAAAATGAACTGAGCAGAGAGGAAAACAGGGAGATAAATGGAGTAATTGCAATGACATAATGTCTTAATAATTGACACAACATGTGTCTCTCTGCAGCTTGTTTAGGTCATCCCAACTTCACGTCTGCTTCTCAACTATTACTTCTAGAAAAAAATCAGTCATTTAATGTAACACAAGTGGGACATTTTAAGAGCTGTTTCAGCATCTGCCAGCATTGGAAACAAGACGTCATTACAATTATGGGCAAAAAACACATGAAACTGATCATTAGATTTATTTTAAACGTATCCAGGGACGAGCAGTGACAGTAACAAGTTTCTTTTACGTACTAAAAATAGGGCTTTGCTTACAATAATGACTTATAAATGTATTAAACTGATGCAAATCATGATGCAATGATGCACAAAAATGACTGTGACCTTTCACAGAACAATATGAAGGCAGATTATGAATAAGAATTATTCAGTCTGCCAGATGTTTTCATAAAGGCAAATATGTGTTGAAAAAGAGGATTTAACATTGTACAAAAGTGAGGACAGAGCTGTGAGGAAAAAACCCCCTGCTGATTTACCATAGTTAGCTAAAGAACAAGAGTTTTAGCACCTACCTGGGACATGGAAATGCCGTGGGGTCGCCACATATGTAGAGGAAGGAGATTTGCCATCAGAGTAGGTGGAGAAACTGGGGGTGCTCCGACCGCTTTCACTACCTCGGGGTGTGAAGGTCATGGCAGACACAAAAACGAAAAGGAAAGAGAAGAAAAGTTAACAGGGCTGCCAGAATGATGATTCATTTAGTCTTAGATCTTCCAACAAACCTAACAATACAGCCAGCTCTAAGAAGTATAAATTTGCCTTTGCGTTGGAGTTTGTGAAAGTATGTTGTGTTTATACTGATGGCATCTGTTCAGTAGACACTCAAATTTCATCGCTCAGTTTGAACTGAGTGGAGCCAGTATGAAGTGGACATAGACATGACTGTCAATGGCAGGCTGAATTGTGATGTTATCATCATACTCGGAAAAAAATATTAAGTATTTATAATCACAATCTTTTACCAAACTGAGAGTAAAGGAGAGAGAGAATCTCTTTTTCAAATGCTCTTTTAAAGTCATTTGCATATGTTGAAAGCCAAAATACACAAACAATAATCTCTTTCTCTGTCTCCTTTCCTCTGTCTTTTCTTTCTCTCTTTCACACACACTTGCAACTGTTCTTCAGACACATGCACACACCATTTAACACACAAAGTGCTGTTAGTAAAAATTCACCCCGTATCAGGGGAAAATATTCCACACATCTGGAGCTGGGGGAGCAGGAAATTGTCATAAAATACACTAAACATACACAAATCACAACACTGGAGCACACTATGAAGGTCTCAATGCTCCCATTACTCATCATTAAAATATGATTTTATGGATTGCAACGTCCTTCTCATGTCCACTGGGCGTAATGCAGCATTTCATTGCATATTCTGTGAATGATTTCGATCTTCAAGATCTTCAATGATATGACAAGATCAAGGCAGCTACAGTCAGTGAGGTTTTGCATTTGCACTCTTGTGTTGCTACTTTACCAATAAGTCAATTAGAAAGCCAAGTGAATCATAAACAGCACACTCCAAACGCAACCTCAGTGTACTTTCATAGAGCATTAAAGGGTTGGCCTGGAACTGCACAAGGCCTAAGTTTATGCCACTGTGCCTGGCAAACTGACCCAAAATTGCAGCTCATCAATTTACCCTTTAATCTTCTCCTGCGAACTTTATTCCCACTCTCTCTACTTCTTGCAGAGAAACCACAAAACCAAAATCTGTTTCATCATACTTTTTCCACCACTTCAGAGACATCCTATCTTTATGAATAAATACTTCCCAATATATTCTAGATATTCATAGAATTTACATATGCACAGTGGGGTCCAAAAACCTGGGATCTGGAATTTTTTTTAAAACAGGAAATGAACAAAAAGTTTTAGGATTTTGAAAACCTTTTAAAGGTGGGGTATGTATTTTTTCAAAAACGCTTTAGAAAACTGAGTCGGGCCGAGTACCAAAACAAACTTGTAGCCAATCAGCAGTAAGGGGCATGTCTACTCATGATGCGGAGGAGAGAGTGCTCAGTGCACAGGAGGACAGACATTAGCCGAGCTGAGCGACAGAAAGATAGAGATGGCGGATAAAAAACAAAAGAGGAAAACGTCTGCGGAACAAAAGAAGGCTTACGATAAGGCAAGAAGTAGGACCCGTGTAAATATCGGATCAGCTTTCCAGCGCAGGAGAGAACTCAAGGAGCGGGAAGCCCTGCGATCGGACGCCGAGGTTGCTTTGTTTCTTCTCGATAAGTGAGTAACACGGTGTCTACACCGGACGCAACAGTTGTCGCGCCGCAACAGTCTGTCTACACTGAGAGGACGCGCTTGAGAAACAGTTTAGAGAGGAGAAATCAATCTATATAAAATATTGGTCACAGATTATTGGCCACTTTCTAAATAATAAAAGTATAGCGCATCCACTAGTAATTATATATAAATGAATCCGTTTTTACCGATGCAAATATGTTAGAAACGATGCATCGCGATACAAATACCAACTTGTAGCCGATGCACACTTTTTAAACCGATGCATCGCATCATTAACTTTTTATGCCGATGCACCGAGTGAATCGGGGAATCTTCCCATCCCTAGTCTACACTGGATGCGACAAAGCGACCGTTAAAAATAATTTGTCAAAATCAACCTGCTTTTTAAAAATCAAAATCAAATTTGTCAATACGTCATAAATAGAACGCAGCAGCAGTTTTCTGTCGGGGATTTGTCATGTCGCGCCGCGCCGCATCCAGTGTAGACAGCATCACTGATTATAATGAGTTCTATAGTATTTTGTCGCGCCACTCGCGTCCGGTGTAGACACGGTGTAACACTGGTTTTGCTTTGTTTCACAGAACTAATCGTTGCCTGGGTTGCGTACGTATGTGTGGGGCGGAGCTATCAAAATAGGGGCGAGACACTTTTGGGGTAGGGGCGTGTTTGTTTTGGTGATTTGAAATGTCAACATTGGCTACCAGAAATCACTTACCCCACCTTTAAACAATGTTATGACGTAAAATGAAGGAATACTTCAGATTTTGCATTATTTCTAGGTCACTAATCAAATGCAAGTTTGTGATATTGATCTGTGATCTGAAATTCTGAAACTTTTTCATTTCTATACATGGTCTCAGACTTTTGAACTCCACCTGCAAACTACTGCCTGTCTGAGTATGAATGTTAGGGCAAATAAAACACTTGAAAATGTTGAAAAGAGAGAAACAACAGCCACCAAGTAAATGGCAACATTAACACAAACATACAGACAGTCACTTTGAATATCAGATGTATGGTGGAAAATTTCAACTTAACAGATGAAGCACAACATCAACTACAGTACAACAAATAAATGCATATTGATGCTCGCCAACAACGTTCGCATTTGTCTTTGTGCATTAGGTTACTGTTTCAGCTCAAATATAATGAATATCAACATGTTTTCCATGCAAAATGATTGGACATAACTCTGTATAAACACAATACCAGCAAGCATAAAAAATGGACTGGTCCAAGGACTGAACCTTGCGGTACACCTACAATCTCACATCACTGTAATACACTGGTGATACACAGTGAAAGAGAGACTTTCATTACGAGAGGTTTTTAGGGTTTACCATGAGAAGGCAAATTGAGGAGCAGGGCTGTCCTAGGCCTACTTTCAGACTTTGCTTCCTGTTTGAATCCTGTCTCAATTCCTGTTTAGGAAAGGTGGATGAAGGATAGGCTAGTAATTCTATGTTTGTAATTCACTAGTCCTTCAATGTGAATGCAACCCATATGAAGCACTAAGAGTTATGGAGCTTGGTCCAATGGTTCATTTCTGTTGAAATCCAATTCCAACAGCTGGAACGTCATGCACTTTGCAACATTAGTCATACGCTCTTAAAATAGCATTTTAGTATTGAACTCATTCATTCATGTTGTCAGGGGGAAGTGAATCTTGTACCAACCAAATCCAAGACCAAAAGCTCACTCACATGCAGCATGTGGTGATTTGTACTGGGCAAAAGCCTGCAGGCAGAACTGTGGTACCTCTGAAGTAAGGGATGTAGTTGTGCTGTTGGAGCAAATCCAGAGTAGTGGGGTTGAGGGGCAGGGCCACGCCACCACTCCCTGCCTGTGGTGTGTTTCTACCACTGCCGCTGTACAAAGGCAGTGGGGAGGAGCCTCTGGCACTACCATGGGCACTACTCCTCCCCGAAGTTGGAACAGGCAACAAGTTGGAATTTTCTGCATGAGTGGTGTATTTGACACTCAGATATTGCTCTGAGCAAGAGACCCAGACGGTCAGGGAAGAATGGCAGTAATATGAGATCAGCAACTATACTTAAAAACCAATTGAATTACTTTCTTCCATGAAATTCTGTATCAAATCAGTTTATTGTGGTTAAAAATGTCATTTTAGAATGGAATACTTTAGCTTAGTGAACTGCCTCGCTGCCTACTGTCTTTACAACTTGCATTGAATCTCTTAAGTGATTGATTTGGAATGCTGTACAAAAGATTATTTCAATACGATGTTGAAAAAAGTTGTGATGCTTAATACTTTTGTTAATACATTTTTTCTGATTTATTCAGTCATAGTGGTGCTTCTTAATATTTTTTAAGATAATTTTTTTGATGAACAGAAGTTCAAAAGAAATCTAAATAAAATAGAAATCTTTAGTGACATTTTTGTTTAGTATATAATAGATATATACACTATATGGACAAAAGTATTGGGGCACCCCCTTCTTTAGAACAGAAAAAGACACTTCCAAAACTGTGAAAACAAAGATGGAAACATAATTCATGTATTTAAAAATTGTATTTCCATCTCTGTTGCAACAGTTTTGGAAGTGTCTAACTGTACCCATATGTACAAGTCATTGGTGTTTGACGATGAGTTTTTGGCTCAAGGTATGCATTTAAAGTCACACCAGAGGTGCAGCGAGGATTAGGTCTTTGCTTTCTGCAGACCAGTCAAGTTCTTCCACATTGACTGAATCAATCATTTCTTTTTGAACCCTGTCTTATACACAGAGGCATTGTCATGTTAGAATAGAAAAGGGTCCTGTCCAAACTGTTGCTATAAAATTAGAAACACAATTCCCTAGAATATCATTATATGCTTAAACATTAAGATTTGTACTCATGGAAATTACTAAAGTAGTCAAACCTGTTCATTAGAAGGGGGTGTCCCAATACTTTTGGCAATATAGTGTAGTTACACAATAACTGTGCAGGTATGAATGACTTTGTGTCCATAAGTATCATCATGTATGTGGAGGGATACCTGGTCTGCTGTAGGTCTGAGGTGAGCGGGAAGGCGTATAGCGGCCATAACCCCCTAAAGAGCTGTTGGAGCTGGGGTTGGAGGGCCTCCTCTGCCGGGGAGACTTTTCCCCATCTCCCTAGAATCAAACAGACAGTTTTTCAGTATGAAATTGAAAGCATTAGACAATTAACAATGTTAAACGGTAATCACTATGGTACTGGGACACACAGGAGGGCTATAAAGCTGCAAAAGAAACACAGATGTGACCAGTTTGCAATAATCAGTCCTAACTAGAAATAGGCTGATCACTGAGTGATTACACCACAGAGTTTTCAAACTGAAGATGGTGAAAAACACACAATACTGCAAAGTCTCCAAACCACAACTGTTCTACTTCACAAACAACTGCTCACAAAATATGAGGAAACAAGGTCTCATTCACTAATCGTGCACATATTTGTGTGTGAAAATGTGTGTAATATGGTTTCATCACGTAATAAGTACAAGTAACAATCTGTCCAGATTCTGAATAAAAATTAGATGTGTACATATATACAGTATATATTGTAAGGCATGATTAGTGAACAAGACCCAATGAAACAATAATGGGTCCTGCTTCTTCATGTTAACGCTACTATACCTCAGTTGGAGTGGGGGTGAGTTGCTGAGGTGACTGTAAACAAAGAAAGCAAATGAGTAAAATGGACTTGAATGCAATGATAGATATGTTCATGAAAAAAAATTTGATTTCCCCCTAAGTTACACGACTGAAACTACAGTAACACTTCAATGAATTAGCAAAATTATGATTTTTGGCCAAGCCATGTTGCAATGAAGCTGGATGATGAGTAAAGATGATTACATTTAAAAATGGCACTATTGTAACAAATGAATGCTGTAGCTGTTGCATGAGTAATTATGCAATTCTTTTGCTTTTAAGACACCTATCAAGATAAAAAAAATCGGAAACATCAAATAGAAGACATGTATATGCTAATCCCTCATTTAAGCCTGTATGAGGGAGTGTATTTGTACCTCTCCAAAAGTCCTGTCCTCCACAGGGTAGCTCACATAGGGTGAGTATGAGAGCATGTCAGGTCTGTCAATGTTGTAGATCGCTTTGATTTTTGGAAGAGCAGCCAGGTCCTTGTAGTCCAGAAGTTCATCACCCAGCTTTGCCTTAAGAAAGAGCAACATTATGGCTTTAAAACTCTCTCTACACATATAGTTATTTGTAGGCTTGTGTGTTGCTGCCCACTGGTGGTGATCTTGAACAAATGAAAATCAATAAAGAAAAGAATCATTTTCAAACGCACTTACATAGATAACTCTGCTAGGGGAGCCCGATGCACTGGAGGCAGGAGCAGAGGTGATGCTCTCAGAGGATGTTCTTGTCACCTGGAAACAAAAACAAGGTGAGAAAAACAAAAACAATAAACCATAAAACGAACAGCAACCAAAAGGCATTTTGTTGACTCAATTTAAACCCTGTACGAAGTAACATGAGTGATTACAGCACAATTCCAATGTGGCTATTATTATTGTGCGGCACTAACAACAGTTTATCAGTTTTCACAAGGTTATGAAGGAATCAACAGAAAGGTAGAAAAGGTTTTGCCATTAGGACAGAACAATACTTTTTTTCAGTGTTGTACAGGAACAGATATAACAGTATAATGCAATAAAAAAATTAAAATAATCTGTATTTTGTCAGGAAAAATAAACAAACATGCTATAGTAAATAGTTTTTTTTTATTATCCTCAATAAACCTATAAAAGTTTGGTTATAGATTTATTAATATATATTGTAAGAAAGTAATATAAGAAATATTCTCTAAAAAGGCTTATTATTTAAGTCAATGTATCTTGCACTGATGTTTAAATATTTAAAATGGACGAGACAAGAATTCTTATTGAGAAATTGTTTTGGTTTTTTTCAGTTTAAATGGCATATAGGACAAATGGTAGATTACTGTAAGTTGCACACTTAAGGGAAAATCGTCTGTCATTTTTAAACTCAACAAACAATAAGCTATCATGAAAAAAACAAACAGTGAGTATCTTATTATAATACGAAAGATTTATTTGTGATTTTATTTATAAGTAATGCATTCAGGGTTGCTTCACAGTGTCTTCTCTATAGCCACACACTCATTTTATAGTACTTTTCCAGACGATGTTAAAACCTGTTCTTTGGTTCCTGATTTCTACTGGGTGGGAGTGGTGGTAGCCTACGGCAGCCTGACAGCCCCATTTTGGACTTTAGTGAGCATTCTATTAAAACTAAAAGCAGGTTGGGAAGTAAGCCCATGCAGAGGGGAGAGGGCCGCATGTCACAAACCTGCTCAGGTACATTGGAATGGAGATCACTGAGCTGAATCCGCACTTGTTTCTGCAGGGAAAGGGTTGTTACAGAGAAGCGCTTCCACATACTGCATATCACCTTTGTTTAACTAACTGGATTTCCTGTTAAATGATTTTGCGTAATATATTTCAGAGCATGTCAGCTATGTAAACCAGAGCTCATTTTTAAATTTGTAACATATTAAGGATAAAATTTAAATCCCACACCTCTGCTGACTGTCTTTTTAGGGTCCGTCACTGACTCTAGACTTTAGTCTTTAATGACATTCAAGTCAATAAAAATTGTGGATCCGCTGATAGCAGTGTTTATTTGCGCTGATTTAGTGCCTGATTCTCTTAAGAAATTTTGCAAATCTTTTAACAGCACAACCATGCAAAATTTACATAGAGAAATTCTCCAACTTGCAGGATGGTTCTATGAGCTAGACACGCCAGACTACCGCAATCTTACATATTTTACTGGGACTGTACAACATCACTCCACCACCGTGATCCAGGCACCATAATCAGCACTATAAAAGCCAAAAGTGCACTCGACAACAACATGCATCTGAACACTTGCCCAATTACAACACTTCTCCATTACTTCATGAATAACAGCTGCCATGACCAACTATTCCATCATTTTTCTTAAGCAAAATGTATTTGAAATACTGTCAACTCATTTTCTGTGGGCTAAAGTATTGAGTTTTTAGAGTAAGGTGCATTATATAATAAGCCTAATTTAAAAACAAGCCAATGACTCTGTTTCAGATCATTTAGTTCCTGGACATATTAAATTGCAGGTATATTAGATGCAGGTTTTTGTGCTGCAACTTTTTAGTGAATTCACTCCCCCTGTCTTCAGTCACAGTTTTACAGTTTGCTTAGATTTACCTTACTCTTCTCCTCCATACGCGCTGCCTGTCTGCAAGGAGGATGCCAGATGGAAGAACCTGTGAAAGAGAAAGCCAAATATAACTTGCAAGTCCATGTTAAAAAAATACGCAGGCTTTAAAAGTATTTCACACAGCACAATATTCACAAGTATAGTACATCACATTAATTATAACATTAATTACATCCTTTTGCTCAAAAATTGTTATGAAATCAGGTAGACAAAAACTTAAAGTCAGTATGATTAATTTTTAAAAGAAATGAATACTTTTATTCAGTAAGGATGCTTTATATTGATCAAGTTTTTGTAACATTATAAATGTCTTAACTCTTTCAGATGCAGTTTTTTTGGAATACTCTATTAACTTTAAAAAATCCACAGAAAAAAAGTATCACAGTTTCCACAAAAACACTAAACAGCACAACCATTTTGAACATGAATAATAACAAGAAATATTACTTTAGCACCAAATTAGCACCATATCAGAATGATTTCTGAATGATCATGTGACACTGCAGGCTGCTGAAAATGGAGCTTTGCCATCACAGGAATACATTATAAAAAATATTATTAAAATAGAACACATTTTAAAATTGTTATACTTTTCACAGGTTTTTTTTTGGCTGTATTTTTATCAAATAAATGCAACCTTGGTGGCACTTCAAAAACATTAAAAAAAAGAACAGTAGTGTAAATTTTTAAGTGGGGCTTAAATACTAAGTATTTCACACAGCACAATATTCACAAGTATAGTACATCACATTAATTATAACATTAATTACATCCTTTTGCTCAAAAATTGTTATGAAATCAGGTAGACAAAAACTTAAAGTCAGTATGATTAATTTTTAAAAGAAATGAATACTTTTATTCAGTAAGGATGCTTTATATTGATCAAGTTTTTGTAACATTATAAATGTCTTAACTCTTTCAGATGCAGTTTTTTTGGAATACTCTATTAACTTTAAAAAATCCACAGAAAAAAAGTATCACAGTTTCCACAAAAACACTAAACAGCACAACCATTTTGAACATGAATAATAACAAGAAATATTACTTTAGCACCAAATTAGCACCATATCAGAATGAATTCTGAATGATCATGTGACACTGCAGGCTGCTGAAAATGGAGCTTTGCCATCACAGGAATACATTATAAAAAATATTATTAAAATAGAACACATTTTAAAATTGTTATACTTTTCATAGGTTTTTTTTTGGCTGTATTTTTATCAAATAAATGCAACCTTGGTGGCACTTCAAAAACATTTAAAAAAAGAACAGTAGTGTAAATTTTTAAGTGGGGCTTAAATACTTTTTGTGCCCACTGTATCTTTAAAATATCTCCGTTCTTATCTCAACAAACATATTTCACATAACTCATCTCTCTGAGGAGTTAGCATGTTCATATATCCTACCATATCAACTGGCATTCATAAACTAAGTAACACAATCAGTCAGCAGTCTTTCATTTTATTTTAGGCAGATTGAAAAAAGGCTTCTAACTGATTCTGCTTTCTAAAAGCACATCTGACTATAAATCTCCTTTGAAAAACTGCAGTGCAGTGAGTTTCTGTGGTAAATCACTGCACAGAGTTCAACGAGATACTGAAGTATTGCAACGTTTGAGGTGGGACACAAGAGAATAAATAAAACCATATTTATCGTATGATGTCAAATGTGTGTTTTCTTCTTTATAATTTAAGACACCTCAACTATGGAATGTATTCAGGTTTTGGATGTGACTGGTTTGAGCTGGTCTAGCTCTGTATGACTGTCTTTCTCTGTTTAAACTACAAAACAAACTATCCATTCTTGTATTTGTCAGTACAGATGTATTTTTTAAGCGTAAAACTCCAAGTACACTAATACATATGATTAAAAAATCCTTGTCAGTAGTCATCAGTTTTGTCTGTGCCTGTCTGTCTGGTATCATGCTCAAAATGTATAAGGACTTTGCAGAGGAAAATGTTTCATGCAGCATTCTCACACAAATCATCAAATGAAATGCATCTCCTCAACCGTAACTTTTGCTAAGCGCAGCCAACAAATCAATTTTTTTATATTATACTTTTGTTGAATATAATCTGTAAAAGGTTGACACATTAAATGTCACATTAAAATAATTTACAAATAAAATAGAAGCAATATTCATTGTATTGAAGCATTTGTTTTAAAGGGGTCATATGATGCTTTTTTAAAGATCATTATTTTGTGTATTTGGTGTAACAGAATATGTTGACATGCTTTAATGTTCAAAAAACACATTATTTTTCAAATACTGTACATTATTGTAGGTCCTCTATGCCCCGCCTCTCTCAAACGCTTCGTTTTACTATGCACAATCAGCTTGTAACACTCCAAAGAGAAAGGAAAACTTGAAATCGCATCATATGACCCCTTTAATAAAACATCAGCCAATTCCAGTATCTGAAGCAAATCATGCAAATTTGATGATGCTTTAATTACCTTGCAGGTACATCTCCTCCCCCTCCCCAAACATCTGGTCACAACGTGCAACAGAGTCGCGTGACAGACACAGTGATGAAGCTGGTATGTGTTTGCATTACACAAGCCATGGTTAAGACAGCTGCCTCCACTGTGATGTGACACTGTGCTAAATTACCTTGCAGGTACATCTCCTCCCCCTCCCCAAACATCTGGTCACAACGTGCACATCTGGCACATGTGGGATGATAGAGTTTTTCTCCAGCCTGCAGATAAACACAAAGCAGAACACATATCAGTCACTCACCTTCACTGCAGAAATCTCTCAATGATTACATTTTATATACTCATATTGGGGGATTATTAAGACTACATTTGTCTTAATTCTCTTGACAATGTAATTAATTGATTTATTCCTCAAATAATTCACTTTATTTGCAGGTCAAATGCTAATTTGATAGCGGTAGGCAGGGGGACACCATCTGCAGTAACTGTGTCTGAACAGTAGAGGGACCACAGATGCAAAGCTGCCACACTTCACTTCTGATAGCCACATTTCATTTTAAAACTTTTAAATGAAAAGCCCTCTTTTGGCCTTCATTGTGAGATTGACTCATCAAAATAAATTGGCATTTGAGACAAATAACATGCCATAAATAAATGTTATTGATATAATTGATATACACTACCATTCAAAAGTTTGGGGTTTGGTAAGATTTTTGAAAGTATAGGCTCAACTTTAGTGTCATGTGATTAGGCCTGTCGCAATAATCAATATATCGACTTATCGCACAATATATGTACATGACCGCAATAATTTTTGGTGACGCAATATATCGCCCATTATATTTACTTAAAAAATATTTTGATACTTAACTTCCATGATCTAAGTATTCTTAAAAAATTTAAGTTTGTTGTAATTTGGAAGTGTGTTGGCCTTCTTGCATTATTATGCTGTTACATTATGATTATATATTCAGTGGCATAAAACGGTATTTAAAATGACAATAATATCGCTTATCGCAATTATTTCTGGGGCAATATATCACACAACAAAAAGTTGTTATCGTGACAGGCCTACATGTGATCCTTAAAAAAATCATTCTAATATGTTGATTTGATTCTCAGGAAACATTTCCTATTGAAAACAGCTGTGCTGTTTATTATTTTTGTGGAACCGTTTATATATTTTTATGGATTTTCTTTAATAGAAATTTCAAATGAACTTTTATTTTTTTTAAATACAAGTCATGTTTTAATGAAATGTCTTTACTGTCAACTTTAGATCAATTTAATGTGTCCTTACTGAGTAAAAGCATTAATGTTTTTAAAAAAATAAAAAATCTTACTGATCCTAAACTTTTGCATGGTAGTGTACTATCACCAAAAGAGAAAGAGATAAAGTCTTGTCCTTTTCTATCTTATTCTCTCTAGCTTTCTATTAATTAATCTGGTTATCAATCATTTTAGTGTTTCTTAAGAGCTCTGTCGGGCTGTAATTTTGCAATATTCCTTTAAATATTTGGTGTCCTTTCCAAGTTAGATTTAGTTCACGAGGTAAATAGCTCCGTCCACCCTGAAAGAGCACACATTAGTAAAATCAGTCTTTTATATTTTCCTGTCATCCATTAGATTCCTGTCATCCATTTTTCATCAACCTTCATTAAGTCCTAAAAGACTCATCTATGATTGGAAATTTTCAGCATGCTTTGTCACACTCCTTTTAGTGTTCAGCACAGCTGTAGATTTAATTTCTCATGTATCAAAACATGCACTGGAAAATCTACTCAGCCCCTCCCCCCTCTCCATTCACTTTCAACACAGTTACAGTCTTGCCACTCAAAATGTCATGACATTTCGGCTCAGATACAATTCCCAATAAATGCTACAGAGTAAATAGGACCTGCAAATCATGCTCTGTTTGTGCTCTCTTTCTGTTACATACTTTACAACAACAACAAATGGAACAAGCTGTTTAAAAATCCCCTCAAATACACAATAAAATCCTTTACCTTTGATTACCTCAGTACCTCAATGCTGTCTAGGCTTGTGACCTGGCATTACTCCTGAAAGGTGGGCTAATTATTCTTGCTAACATTAGGATACCTGTATCAACTAGCCTTCAGTTCATGTAAAAAATGTTGCCGAGGGCAAAAAAAAAAGCCAAGATATTGTTTTGCATGACTTCATTTTAAATCTACTCAAAGCACTTGGCAAAGAAATTGTGTAGTTAAAACTACCATCCTAAACCATGATGTCACACAGTGACTCTATCTAATTTTGGGTTACTGAGAGCAAGTGGCAGTGCCAATGGGACAGTCACTATAGCAACAGTGTCCCACTCCTGACACACACACAGATACACTTATTTATAGAGCTTTAAAGTACACAAAGCTGTAGATCTTTATGTATATGTGACAGATATGAAATGCACACCTAACTTAACAAGTATTTTTACAAGCAACATTTACTCATATGAGACCACTAATGGGAAACTTAGCAGATACAAAGAACAACTACATCAATAGGGTGCTTGTTAGGGTGTAACAAAATAGCTGTTTAAAGAACAATGAGGAAGAGTTTGCATGCAAGAACAAAATGGAGTGAACAAAACAGAAAGAGTAAAAAGGAGATGCAAAATTCAGAGATATATTGTACTATACTGTAATTAGGCTTCAGATGGGTTGTGAATTGACTGTCTGAGATTGTCTTTGTAAGCACCCACTCATCTTCTGCCCCCTCCAACACTTAAAAATAAAGGTGCTTAAAAGGTTCTTCACAGCGATGCCATAGAAGAACCATTTTTGGTTCCACAAAGAACCATTCAGTCAAAGGTTCTTTAAAGAACCATCTCTTTCTTAACTTTTAATAATCTGAAGAACCTTCTTTAACCACAAAGAACCTTTTGTGAAACAGAAAGGTTCTTCAAATGTTATAGGTTCTTTAAGGAACCATTTAGACAAAAAGGTTCTTCTATGGCATTATGAATCACCTTTATTTCTAAGAGTGAACATGACCACTGCGATTACAGAGTACCAGCCTGAAGCTCTCAGATGACAATAAAAGCCTTTCACACGCACTCAAAGCAAAGATATGATAAAACTCAACCAAGTCTTGCTATAAAGTCAACATGAAATGGCATTGACAAGCCATTTTATTCATATTTCAGAGTGAAACAGAATATGGAGAAAATGGCTTTATTTCTCTGTTTACTTTGAGACATCTTGGTTTTTATGCTAGTGCACTCTTTAAAGTTGACCTTTTTTTTTTTTGCAGAAATGCACAAGTTAAATGGATCAAAAAAATGATGACTCATCCTGCACTGCAGATTTTGTCCAATCAAATGTTCTCTAGCATGAGAATGTCCCTCCCCCTCATTCATGGCTGTTATGTAACTAAACCCTATTGGCTATTTAAAAAGATGAACCCTTCAATATGTCCTGCACAAAGTGTTTTTAGTTTTAATGAAAAACATTTTCATTAATTTTTGGAATAGAGCTGAAAATTTTTAAATATAAATATTACAATTAAAAATTTTAATGAAAATTAGAAGGGCTCCCGTCAAAAAAAAAGTTTTATATTTAAAATACATTTATTTCATACTAAGTATAGTTCAAATCTATTAACATATTTACTGACATATTGCTCAAGACTTACTGATATATAAATTATAATTAAACTTTATTTGGAGTAGGCCTACTACTTCTGCACAATGCACATTTCTTAATATAAAGCCTAAAATGTGTTTAATGTCACTATTGATGAAATTTGTATGGTCTTTAAATAATATCGGTCTTTGAATGCAAGATATTTAAAGTGTACCTGAAGTATACTTGCAATACTTCCAATTTAGCATAATGAAATATACTTTAGTATATCTTTAGTTGGACTTCAGCACTACTTCTGCACAATTAAAGTGCATTAAGTACAAAATTAGCTGTTCCAATTTAGCAGACTTTAAGTATACCAGTTTAGTATACCAAAAGTACAATTGCAGGGTATTTTTATTAAGTACATAAATATGTAAATGTATTTATAGTATACTTAACATGAAATAAATATATTTGAAATAGATTTTAGTATATTTATTTTTCACTAGGGCTGCTTTGTCAACTACCTCAAATAAATAAGTTAAGGATAAAGTACTAAAATCACAAAAACTAAAATTTAAATAAAAATAAACTACAGCTAAACAGAAATATTTTTAAACTAATAAAAATGACAAAAACACAACAAAATTACCAAATCCTAAACGAAAATCGAAAACTAAAACATCTAACAAAATCTAATAATAAAAGCTAATTTAAAATATTAATGAATACTAAAATAGTATATAAATAACACTGTCCAAACTTTCAATTTCTTTTTTGGTCTTTAAAAAAAGAAGAGAGGGTTCATTTTGATTTCATGTGGACTTTAAGCAATGTTAACAATATAATTAAGCCATCCATTCATCTACTTCCATCTATTAATGAATCCATTCATTAAAGGACCCCTGACAAATAGAAAAGATTTCTTCAAACCTCAAGTACTTTTCCAGTGATGTATTTCTTGCAGGTTTCACACTGGATGCCGAACATGGCGTGGTAGTCTGCCTCACAGTAGGGGATCCCGTCTCTGCAGAACATCAACACACATTACAGAAGATGTATTTCACTAGAACTCAAGAATGGTGACAGATCTCTGTATGCTCTCTGGCCTTGAGAATCCCCTGTTCTTTCATATTACGATATCAATAACGTTGAGTCATTCCAGAGGGTTCAGCAGGCTTGCAGATCACATTACTACGATCGATAAAGCACACACAAGCACCCAGAGAAGAGTAAGAGTGGGACTAACTTGCTGATATATTCTGCATTAAGCACTTTATTGCACACTTTGCACTTGAAGCAGCCAAGGTGCCAGTGCTTGTCCAATGCCACCAGAGACTGCTCATTTTTAAACTCCTTTCCACAGCCACAGCAATCTGCAGAGAGAGCGAGACAAAAGTGTAGTGTAATACTAATGAAATGGCATGGAAAGCTGTCAATGCAGACATTTAGGAAATAAATGAGTGAGTGTGTGTGTGTGTAAGAGAAAGAGACTAACATAGAATGGAATAGATTGCAATGCAGAAACACAGCGTACTCACTGTGCACAGCCTGTGGAGATGCCGTGCTGTTGACTGGCACAGGCTGAGTGCATTTCTCACAAACGCACTCCTTCCCATTAAACGTCACGCGGCCCCCAGCTGGAAATGGCTGCCTGCCAGAAATACACACACAGTCACCTCATCATTCACCAAAGTTATAAAGTCACTTTCACATGAGGATGAACTTTAGACTAGTTTCTCAAACCATTTTCAATTAGGATCAGATGCAGGGACACTACATGATGAAAAACTCACAAAAGGGTGACAAAACGAAACATTTTAGCACATTCGCAGTTGGCAAGCATGGTAAGAATTACTGCTTATTTAATCTTTTAAATTAAATCAAATAATTTAGCATAAGCAAAGGCAGATGCATTCTAAAAGGCAGAGTTCACCCAAAATTTTATTTACATATACTAAAAAAGGGAAACTTTCTATTATTTACAAAAGGTGACATTTAGCATAAATTTAAAAGCAATGAGAACGAATGCTGTCAGTCTTTGAAAAGACAAAAAAAGCACCCTAAAACAAGCTAAAAGAAAGTCTTCTAAAGCTATAGCAGATCCAAGCCGCTATTTACCGTGTAACTTCAGCTCCTCTTTAGCATTCATATTCATTTAGATATTTTCATATTAAAACTGCCACATCAAAACCAGTTATGACACACATGACAACCAATGTTGTTTGGCATCACTGGTCAGCTCTTTTGTTGAATTTGATTGCTTCCATTGTCCTCATTTGTAAGTCGCTTTGGATAAAAGCGTCTGCTAAATGACTAAATATAAATGTGTCAGACCTGCTGTGTTTTTGCATGCATAGCATACTTATATTAAACATAAATGTAAATTAGATTAGACAGGATTTTAGCGAATAATTACTAAAATTTTAATCTGACCTTCACACACACACACGCAAAAATCAATCAAAATACTTGCAGCATCAAATATAGCATTGTATATCTTTGAACTACTTTTTTAATGCTTTTTTTGGTATTGACTCCAAGATGCTTCAAGAAACCTACCTGCAAAGCTACAGTACTGTTAAAAGTTTTAGGCACTTGTGTAAAAATGCAAAAATTATGTCATAAATAGCTTTTCTTTATCAATTAACTTCTATTAACTAAATTAAATCATTTGATGTGACCATACTTTGCATTTAAAGCAGCTTTTGCCCTAGGTGCACTTGCGCATAGTTTTTCAGGTAGCTTTGCAGGTAGGTCTCTTAAAGCATCTTGGAGACAGTTCTTCTGGATTGAGTGTCTCAGTTTGTTCTGTTTCTTCATGTCATTCCAGACAGACTGGATGATAATGGATCAGATCTCTGTGTGGAGCTCTGGCTGTTGTCAGACTCCTTGAACAAACAAAACTCTCACTGGATTATTACAATTAATGGCAAAATGAATGTTTGGAAATGTAAACTGATATTTCTGACACTACCTACAGCAAAA